AAGTTTTTCTGAGAGCTTGCTTTATTTATGTTTAAAGCTTGTTATTGGTACTACTAGTTAGTTTTTTACTCTGTTGTTACTTGAGGAGCCCTCATAATATTACTAATGTCACAGATTTGCTTATCTGAATGTGTAATTCCAAGCACTTTTTATTAAAATATTTTTTTTAATTTCTTCTTACTGCTGTCTAATATGAAAGTTATCTTGATTACAGATGAGTACGGTTGTTCAAAAGGTTCATTCTATTAATATTCATTTTTCCAAAGTATTGAAAAGCAGTGACAATATATACTTTTTGCCCTCAATCAGGGGATGCTTTTTACTTGTTATTATCTCTTCAGTAGTTTGCATAACTAATTTTTGACCTTATAGCAATGTGACTTTCCCAAAGAAATATCTAATTATACGAGAGCTGGTTCTTTCACAAATGAGTTGATAGTTGGTGATTCCCTGTTCCTCTCCCTATCCTAAAAGGGGTTCTGAAAGTATATACTGTCCTTCTAAAATCCATTTGCATGAGTAAATTTTTGAGATATTAAAAGATACAGGTTGCATGTTTTCGTGTCTGTCTTAAGGTATTCCTCACTTGCAATAACTTACAAAATTAAAATGTTCAGTCATGTATTGATGTAGTATAGTTTGAATGCAAATTTATTACAAATAAGAGAAGTATTTCTCTTAATGAAATTATAAATTTTAGATTTAAAAGATCAATGATATTTGCTATGAAATAAAGAACATATATATATATGTGTGTATATATATATATATATATAAGCAATATATGAATTTGTAAAAGCCTTCATCTGCCATCTGTTTCTAAACAGCTGTGGTATAGCATTGGTATGTTCCTTTGTCTGTTACAAGTATGGCTTATGAACTCTAAAGAATGTTCCAAAATTACACAAGTGAGTTACTGAAGGACTATTTTATTTGAAGTTCATAGTAATGTCATACAATTTGAGCTTGTATTTTCAGAATTATAAATGCTCTGTTGTCATGGAGTTAATTTTTAATGATTTCATTGCAAGAAATCTTGCTCAGAGATCTTGTTAGACTAGAAATAATCTTCTAGAGAGATGGCAACTGAGGTATATTTCAGATGCTTTCACTAACATTTAAAAAGCCTGCAGCTGTCAAAGGTCAAAACTTAGTTATTTTAGTTTCATTCACTGCTGATGTGCTTTCTGGAGCTGAGAACAATACAAAGCATTCTTTCTTTTCAACTTCATCTTTAAAAATTCATTATTAAAATATATTTTTTAAGATGTTTATGTAAATGGCACTTCATGGTAAAGTTAGTGGAAGATATATACACCTTAACATACATGATTGTCAGCCCTGTATAAATATAGAAAAGCGATACTGTAAATGCTGGCTTCAAAGTCTGGAGAATTTTCATGTTGAAGGTGGCATTGCCTCTAGCAGTGAATGATAGCATGCATGCATTTCATTCAGGGAAAAGTGTACAAGAGCATTTCAAGAATGCTGTAAAATTCTTCTTGTGCTTGATGTCAGTTTGACACGCTAACATAAACCAGGAAATTATACTGTATGTGTCTTATGCTTTAAAATTTTGTGTTTGGCTTATCTTTGTGGTTTTTATAGTTCATCACTCTTGAAAAGTGTCCTTCATCAGTATCATTGTAATGCATATTACTGCGAAATGTCTGTATCATTTTAGTTCATTGAATGACTCAATTTAATTATGTCGGTTTAGAAAAAAATACATAGATATGTCTGCATTTGCATTTTAGGTGGCCAGGAGGAATACGTCTTGTCATATGAACCAGTCAATCAACAAGAAGGTTTGTATCTCTTGCTCAGTTTAAAGTAAATATAATCTGAATTATCAGAATGTTTCATGTGCCCTTATGTACTGAGCACCATGATAAACTTCTTCACTGTTTTGAACTTGTTACCATTATTCATATGAATAAAGCATAAAGGCATAAATTATTAAATGCAATTGCTAAATTATTTAGTGCAAGAGCCAAAGGTGTGCTAATTAAAATAATATATTATGTGTGGTTTACATTGTATAAAGAAAATAGAGTATGTTTAACAGTTTTGTCAATATGAACCTCAGAAATTATGTTTTTCTTCTGTTTCATATTGCTTTAGCATTCTCACTGTTGCAGTTCCTTTTTTCTGGTGCAGCAAAAAATAGACAATATATCATTTGTCTATTTAAGCTTTAATTTAAATGTCTCTAAAGCTTTATTTAAGGTCTCTAAAGCTTTAATTTAAATGTCTCTAAAACGCAGCAGTCTTCCATTTCTGTATGGGCTTCATATATGGCTAATTTTATTAGCAAGTGCCAAGTGATAAATTTTTTTTTCCTGGGGAAAAAAAATTTTTTTTTGCATGAAATGGAAATTGATAGGAGAAGATATTTTTTCACACTTCCATTTAAAACTAAATGTTTTCACTGATTTCCAGTGCGGATGTTATCGTTTCTTTTTCACCTTAGTCCTGATCTTGCTTCACCGTGTGTAATAGATACAGAATTTTTAGTGTTCCCATTCACCAGGACAGGTGCTAATGACTGATTTACATTATCTGATACATAGTTAATATATTTGTAAATTAGTCTGTAAAAGGCATGTCCTTTGGGTGTTTGATACCTATTACCTATCGAGTATTTGTAAATTAATATATAAAAGGCATGTCCTTTGGGAATACTTGATACCTATTACCTATCAAATAAGGTGGCAGTTGAAGTAAATACACATCATGTATACATGAATTTTGGGTGTCAAAATTTCATTTTTGGTTTCATGTAGTGAGTGGCATGGCCCAGTTGCTTTTAATAGCATTGTGGAACATGCATGCCTATATACACTTTCCACTCTGACTTGTTAATATGGGCATCATTCGATCAGTAAGCTTCCAAAAGTAGTAAAAAATGTTATACAACACTAATACAAAGTACATTATTTATATCACGTAATTTATAATTTTGGTAGTCTCCAAATAAAATCATGGATGAGAAATGCATGAGTTAAGACCATGCTAGAAATGGGAAAATGGTAGGCCCTCTTCGATGTGCTAAGTAAGGTGTGCTTAAGCTAGGGAACTGGAGGTTTGTTACCCTCCAGGGAGCAGCTGCCAGGTCTGTATACACACCAGAGGGTCTCACAAAATGAAAAAAATCTTTTTAACAGGCATTAGTTTTCCGGATTCTGACAGCTTAATGGTTTAGTGAGAACGATAGTAATACCAAGTGAATTAATGTCAAGGTTGAAGAGAAAAGATGTGAACGAGACTTCACACAAGCCAATGGTTTAGTAACTGTCATATTATAAAACTGAAGATTTTAGAAAGCCAAGTGCTTTGGCATTTAAATACACTATGCTAGACTCATAAACGTAGTTACAGTCACATATGAGGAGGGCCATAAAAGAACCAGTACCTCATTCCTTTGCTTAGGAGCAGTAATACATTCCCTGCATATGTTATCTGCCTTTGTCCACTAATTCACTTCCACAGGAATTTTTCTTTTAAGAAGTCCAGAGGAATAAAGAACTGTAATGACCAAAATAGTTTTAAAGGTACTTGGACTTGAGACACTAGTGGGTCTTGAGATGCTGGTGGGCCACCCTTAGTCTTTAAGCAAAGATGTTGGTTATTAAATTAATAGGTTAACAGATCTAAGACATTCCTTTTATGAATATATTAATATCCTGGAAACAAAATAGTTCTGAGAGTCAAATAATATATTTCATAGGTCATACTTTATTTAATTTGGACTTACTTGTGCAGTAAAGATAGACCGAACCTAAACCTAAAATTTATACAGACAAGATCATATGCTAATGGCAGGATACTTAGGCATTATATTGTCTTGATGGTTCTTTCAGTATAATAAGATATTTTCTGCTTAAGCTTAATTTCCAACCAAAAGCCCTTTGTAACTATAAACAATTAAGCTACTTTTAAAAGATGCTGCACTTAATTTTATAAGGGTGTTAATAGTTACAGAAGCTATATATAGTTGAGCCTTTTCATACACGAGTATTTACTTGTGGTCTTAGAGGAAAAGAAGCTTTTCCGAGCACAGAAGTAGAATTTCATGAACTCTGCTACTGCTTAGGTACCTCTTTGAAGTGGAAAGATTTTCATACTTTCTCCTTTTGCTTTTTTCGTTAGAATGAAGGATTTTACTTAAGACTCATCTTCAGTTATCCAGGATAGTGATTTGAGAGGGAAGATCTAGCATGTTACTGTGACTATGGTATTAACTGATTTGCATTCTTGAACATGTTTTTCTTCCTTTAAGGAAATTTTAGATATTTAAATCATTGCTATGTGATAAAGCTTATTGTGCTGAACTGTAAAAGTTAGCAGTTTAACCAAAGTATAACTGATGTTATTCCTTTGTGTTTTATAGTCAGTTACACTCGACCTGTGATTGTTTTGGGACCCATGAAAGACAGAATAAATGATGATCTAATCTCAGAATTTCCAGACAAATTTGGCTCATGTGTTCCACGTAAGTCTCAGAAAATCCGAAAACAATTCTAAATTATGTTTTTCCTGTTAATTTTCTTAATAGACATCCTTGGTACATCAAGTTTAAAAAAAAATTGTCTAAACTTTGTAGACCTATCTTAATTGTCAGTCATCTATTTGCTTGTGAAAACTTTGCAGTATAAATGGGAGACTGTTTTTGGATATTGTAGGGGAAAAAAAGTCACTGTTTTCTGTTTATGCTTTAAAAAATACTGGTTTATATTTAAAGATACTACTAGACCAAAACGAGATTATGAGGTGGATGGACGTGATTACCATTTTGTCACTTCTCGAGAGCAAATGGAGAAGGATATTCAGGATCACAAATTCATTGAAGCTGGCCAGTACAATAATCATCTTTATGGAACAAGTGTCCAGTCAGTGCGAGAAGTAGCAGAAAAGGTAAATCAGTGCCAGTTACTTTCATTTACTGAGGTGATTATCTGACTGTGCTCACAGGGTAAAAGAAAAGAATGACAAGAAGCCATTAGGAACCCTCTGACTTTAAAAGAAATTTGTACAAAACTAGAAACAAAGCTTGTTGTCACAAATTCATTTAGGGAAGTAATGAAGTCTTGGAATAATGAAAAGTGTCATGACTAAATTATGGGAAAAGAGCAACTGTAGTTTGTGCCTTCTTATAAAAAAGAGAATAAAGAAATAATTGGAATTACAGGCTAATTAGCCTAGCTCGCATACATAGATCATTAACTAATTAAAAATAGTGGTGGTGGAGTTGATTAATGCGATGATCCATTTATATAAAGCTGTGCAGAAGAAAACTTGTAAAAATTTTATTCTTTGTGCCTTTCATGGATTTAGCTGACAAAGGGAAAAGAGTAAATGCAATAAACACAATTTTAGAAAGAATTTTTACATAACTACCACTCCATTTTGAAGACTGACCTTACTGGTTTTATCCTAAACAACATTTTAGTTAACTGTTTCTTGCAAAATCTAAGTATTTTTAAATTCAAACTGAAGTTTACTTGAGCTCTCTGAAAAGGAGTTTGAAGAAGAAAGCATATTTCTTAGTTAGATGCTTGTTTTAAAGGAAAATGGTTTTGGTGAAAATTCTTTGCAAATGCTCCATGTTGTTGATGAGTGTTGCTCTACTGCTTACAAATACGATGCATTTAGAGTAGACAGTGTTATCTGATCCATATGAGAGAAGAAGCAGCTGTTTTCTAGGTGGGAACGAACTCACAAGCATGAGCACTTTCAGTCTGGACATGCAGAGGGTAAGTGGGGTTAACTTTTGTGAGACGAGAGTGATGTTAGTCCTCTGGAAGACAGTGTAGGCCATCCTGCCCAAATGGCTGAGTATTGTTATTTCTGGAAAGTGTAATTTACTGCAATCAAAACCAGGGTGAACATGGTGAGATTCTGGTTCATGTGATGGTTTTCTTCTGCTGTCTTTCTCATCCTATGGAATAGAACATGGCTCCATGGTATATAGCAAGAAAAGTGAATAAAATAATTAGAAAATTGTTAAAGTAAATGAACAGTACTTTGTATGGGAAGCTGAACAAAGTAGTGAAACTATCATGTAATTAAATGATGAAACTATTTATTGAACAACTTAAACATTTTAAACCTGTTGGCAGTTGTTTCACCTGCTAGCACAGATACAATCCTTCATTTCCATCCTAAAATTGAAATTGGCTATGTTCTTTTGCCCATCTAGTGGCATTAGTAAGGTACAAAATGATTGTGAATCTTTTATAAACTGACATGAAGAACAAAGTACTACCAGATGTTTCCATGCTATTAAATCTCTTGCACAGGCACTGTGGGACTTCGGGTAGATGCAGCAATTTCTCAGTTCCAGTTAATGGTTTTTTTTTTTGTGGGAAACAATGGCCTGTCCTTCGGAACTTGACTACAAAATCATGATAGGACTGCCAGCTGGTCAATCTGGGGTTAATCTCTCCTTGTATTCCTCTCCATCTCGCTTAAGAGCTGACTCTCTTCAGAGGGTCTTATTACTGGATACAAACGATGATTTCCAAACTTTCTATGAGGAATTTAGAGAAAAACACAACAGAAGTGACTGCTACTACTCCAGAAGTACCAGAAATGGTATTCTTGCAATAGCTTTAAATTGTGTTCATTGTCCCGTGCTTCCAGGTGATCCTTATCTCTCTCATTTCCTTACCGACAATGGACCCAGCTAAAGACACTTTTTGATGTCATTGTTTGGTTATTGTTAAAGGCACTCTGTGCTCTTAATGTTTCTTAATCAGATGCAGTGCAAGTAAGGAACTGAAAAATAAGTACAATATTGTTTACATACACTGTGCAAAGAGCAAAATAGCTTCTCTGGATGAAAACATGATAATTGTATTGTGAAATATTTGCATTTCTTTTCTCTGTCTTCCAAATCTTCACTTGAAAGGAATTTTCATATCCTTTTTACTTTGGAATCACTATCAGCTTGCAAATCTCTGTCTGAGGCCCCTGTTAATGCATGTTCATTATTGATCTGGAATAAACCGTCACAGTTATATTCCATAAGGTCCAGCACAGCAACTGTGCTGGCCATCTAGTCCTCCACTCTTTGCCCCAAATCCTTTGACATCTGGCATAAGCTGTTGGGCCAAACACAGCAAATACTAAGTGTGTTATCGCAAAAAGAAAAATGGACCAGGTAATGCTCTTAATTTTCAGTTCCCAGAGCATATACCACATTTAAAGAGAAACCATTTGAAATATGTGGACAGATCAGCACATGTAGTAAAACACTCTGCTAGAACATACAAACACCTTTCTTAAATGATACCAGTCAGCATCTGGATCCATGGGCTGGATCTGGGAAACAGGTATCATCAGTTGAAAGCAAGCAGATACAGTAGTTCATGTAGGAAGAATAATTCTATCCTCTATAAGAATTCCTGAAATAAAATCTGTGGTTTTGTTGTGAAAGAAATCAAATGTAAATGATCCTAGTGATCTCTTCTGCCAGGAAGCAGAAACATGTCAGTCATTTCAGACTACAGTCACTTCCTTACTTGTCCATGTGCCCTCCAGGAATGACCTCTCAGGACTTCAGGAAGTGCATTGTATGATATGAGTAACCTTTGGGTTTATGGTGCTTGTGAGTTTGTATCCTGGGTCACAGAATTCTGCCATTCTTGGTCTCCTGCTAAAGAAAAAGATTTTCTTATTTTAGCCACCAGACAGTGGTTTTCTGTTCCTCTTCCCCCATGGCCTTCTAAAATGATGGTATGCCAAATTACTCCTGTGCTACTTAGAAAGGAAAGAAATAAAAATGTGTGAGGTGGAAATGAGCATATTGGAGATGAGAGGAGCTGAGGAACAGGAAGAGCCTTTGAGATGAGATACCCCAAAGAGATGGAAAATCATTTCTAGTGGGAGAGTAGAAGTGGGGAGAAAAGCAGCCCTACCACCTTGTCTTCCAACTCCCCAAGGAGTGGTTAAGTTACATTTGTTTCTTAAGAGATGAAAAAATAATCGGCCCAAACAAATTACATTCACCATCTCAGACTTGGTATTCTACTGTGTGTGTTGGTACCTGGGGGGAGGAGGAGAGTGCTTGTATTCAGTTCCAATGGTGACATATTTCTCTGCCTTCGGGGGTGGTTACTCCCTCAGGTATGCCAGGTAAGTCACCTGGTTCATCTGGCTCCTCTCTCAACTGCATCCATGACATGGCCACCTCCCTAAAGGATCCTCAAATGATTTAAAAAAAGAAAAAAATAATTTTGGTGGTGTGGTTAAAGTACAGCTGTTCCACTGGATGGAGCTGCATTGTTGATTGGGCTGCAACCTCTGGTGGAGAAAGAAAGGAAGGATTAGGAGCATCTCAAATGATGTCTGTTCCCAGCAGAGGAACATTGTGGGACCTTGTGCCAAAGTGGTGAAGTCATAGTATCATTGATGCAAATGCTCTAATTTTGTTGGCTTCAGTGGAAACATGTTCTCTAAATTGTTGTGTTATGCATACTTGCGACTTAAACTTTGCTTAGTGCCATTTTCCCTTCTCTTTCACTTTTTAGGGTAAACATTGCATTCTTGATGTTTCTGGTAATGCGATCAAAAGGTTGCAGATTGCCCAGCTGTACCCAATCTCCATTTTTATTAAACCCAAAACAGTGGAAAACATCATGTGAGTAAAAGAAAGTACTTCAGGCTAAATTGTTTGAGACTGTTGTTGTGTTTGAAAAGCCAACTGCAAGTTATGTAAAGGCAATTGTAATATTTGCATTTGAAACAATATTTAATTTCCTGAGTTTAATTTCTAGGGACTTTTGGATGGGTTTTTTAATCCAAATTAAAGAGCTTGAGAACAAATGTCATTGTGCTAAATTCCATGCAACATAGTGTCAGAACACTTCATTCCCACTGCAATCTTTGTTTAGGTGTGTCGTTTAGGAACCTGCCTCTTATTAAGCTTAATACTCAGACAACAGTTTAAAACCTTATTCAAAAGACTCCAATTATTTGATAGTAGTTTTAAAATGTATAATGTTTTCCGTTCCAGGGAAATGAATAAACGCTTAACGGAAGAGCAAGCCAGGAAGACATTTGAGAGAGCTATGAAACTGGAGCAAGAGTTTACTGAACACTTCACAGGTGTGTTTTGCTTGGGACTGTTCCCTTGCCAGAGTTGAAGTTTTATTGCTTGCTGTAAAGTAGTAATTGCCTCACTGCTGAGATAAGGCTGAACTTTGTTTTCTGGGTAATCTGTGATTATTTTGAAGCATAGAGCCATCTTAGTACCTCTACACCAATTTCAATTTGATGAATTAATTCAATATATACAGAAATTTTCTGGGAGCTTAATTTAGGCTTTAAAAACTGAGACTTTCTACCATTTTCCTAACTATTGTAATGCAGATGTTTGCTTTATTGATATATTGTACACTTAAAGCTTTTTATTTGCAGAGCTGAGAGTGTCCAGCAAAGCTCCCTGTAGAAAATTACTCATTTCCATTTTTTATTAAATCAGGAAGTAAAGAATTATGGTAATTAATTAAGTCTTACGCATTATGGTACTTAGCAAATCAAATTTGTGTATGCCACAGACCTAACTGTAACAGCAAGGGATGGGCTGCAAGCACTCAGACTGTGCTAATTGATTGCACTATGGCTTGCAGCTGGAGGAGATCAAGTCAGGATCTTTAGGAGGACAGATGAGCCTTCCCTATTCCTGTCCTGAAGAGACACTCAGTCCTTTCCTTCCTGTTATGTTCTCTTCTGCAGTGTTTCAGAGTTTGCTGCCCCACTTACCTCTTTCTGTGACATGACTCCTTTGCCCAATTCCTCCTTCCACAGTTTCTGTGGGCAGAGCTGCAAATGCAACGGTCTGCTCCACCTGGTCAGAGACACAGGGAAGGGTGGTGGCTTCATATGAGCAGAAGATAGAGGAACCAGTAGACTCCCTACCCCAGTCTTCCCACTGCCTTGTTCTCTACATTGTGTGCTACCCACACAATACACAACCTGAGTCCCTCCCTTTTTGTCTGCCTTTCTCCCTCTCTGCTGCCTCGCAGCTGTCAGTTTATCCCAATACTGCATCTAGCTCTCCTATTCTTCCCATAGCGCTCTATCTGTCTGCACCCAGAAAGTTATGGGACTCTCAACATATATTGCGAATTCTTCCTGCTACAGAGGCCCTTACCAAGTGACTTGCAAATGTGTCAGGTTTGTTGTTCAGGAAATGAATTAGTTATTTTTAATAGATATTAATATTTATTTTGTAGCTGATATTCTCCTAGACTGTCTCATGGCATTATATAGGACACTTTTTCAGGAAATTAAGGGACATAATTCAAAATGTTTCGAAAACCTATTTAAGTGCTCTAGTGCTCACAGCCATGTTTCTTCTCAGAACTGTAGGACTTGTTGACAAAGGAAGATAGCAGTGGTCAGATTTCTGTCCTTGATAATCCAGTTCAGGCCAGGAATCTTTTTCTAAATCTGAGACTTGAATACATTACAAATCCCACTTACTACTTACAGTTTGGAGACTGCCACTCATATGAGTCAGGTAGTAAAACAGAATGTGTGAGCATTCCCTAATCTGTTAAAAAATACCACATCATGTGGGGTAGTTGAAATCAACTTCATCAGTAGGTTAAGTTTAAAAAGACTTAAACTTGGCACTGAAGCACACGAAGAGTACATCCATCTTCTGGTTTGAGGGTGCTGAGCTTTGGAAGAGTTTGAGGGTGCTGAGCTTTGGAAGAGGTGTGGCTAAGCGTAGCTGGAGAGAAGTAAGATGCTGAATTTTATGGTTACTTGCATGCAAAGACATTTCTGAATCTTTTTAATGCACTGTTGTGCTATGAATATTATACTTGACCTATAATAATTGAATAGCCTTCTCCCACAGGCACTATGACAATGGGCTGCAGATGGGGAGAAAGTTTTTAAAAAGAGATGGGAGTGATAAGTAGAGATATAAAAGAAGTAATTTACATGAAAGCAAATCTTGGAAGCAGCAGTAATATATTAATGCACAAGAGTGAGTCTGTCCTGCCTCCAAAACTATTTTTTATGCTAAACCTGTTTCTTGGATTATCAACACTGAGGTGGCGATCCTAATTAAAAAGAAGTTGGTATCTCATGGTGATTGCTTTCAGACTGAAGCGTGGTAAGAACAGCTTAAACTTCATCTTCATTTTTACCCGACCATACTTCACTCTGATATGTCAGAACACATCCATATTGGCTCATTTCTAATTATTTTCTAGCCTTGGAGAAAATATATCTAACCTACACCATCTGAATATAAATTGCACTTTTAACTCTATAAGGAAGACTACTGACTACAAAATTTGAATGTATTGACTGGGCAATAAACTCCATGAGTTCCTCCTTTTTTTGGCCAAAAGCAAAGGTAGTGCTAGCAAGTAGAAATCCCAAGGTCAGCCAGCCTTGCTATGAAGTTTCAGGATCCAGCTGAGGACTTCACCAGTGTGCATTATAGCAAGCCTGATTCAGACTGGCTGCATGAGGACACAGCCCTGTAGTCTGTCTTGCTTTGTTGAGTTGGAAACACACATGAAAGTTGGACCAAAAAGAATACTGGAGGATATGAACTGACTCAGGCAAGCTTTTTAACATGTGGTTAGGAAAAGCAAAAAATCCTTCTCAGTTGTATATGTATACTTACAGTACAGTGAAAACCACTTCCTGACCCCAAGAATCTGAGTGGGAGAGATGGTGTTTTGTGTGTCCTGCAGTACCATCAACAATGGCCTTCCTTCCAGCACAGAAACCAGAAATCTCCATGGGTGTCCATTCCTTCAGCAATCTAAAATCCTCTTTCCCTCTCTGAGAGAAAAGAACAGCTTGGCTTGGAACATCTTGGTTTCTGTACAGAGCTAGGAGGGATGATTGCTGATTGCCACATTATGTTTTGCAGCTATTGTCCAAGGAGACACACTGGAAGAAATCTACAACCAAGTGAAACAGATCATAGAGGAACAGTCTGGGCCTTACATCTGGGTTCCAGCAAAGGAAAAATTATGAAAACAGATTTTTATTTTTCATTTTCTAACTGACATCACCTACTACATCTGACGACTCTTAAGCCCTTCCAGTGGAGCCTGCCTCTAGTTCTTTCCAGCGTGGTTCATACCCTAACCATCACATTCTGCAGTTCCCATAATGCTTTACATTTGGTGTCTCTCTTAGTTTAAATAATTTGTAATATTGTGTGTTGTTGGTTTGCCATTTATCAAACATGACAATGGAATGGCCTGACCAGCTATTAGTTTGGGGTGGGGGTGGGAGGGAATTGCTTGGTAAAATTCCTTAATGTTTAAGGGAAAGTAACTTTCAAAGATTTTTCAAAAAAGCTTTATAGACATTCTTTTAAAATTTCATAACAATTGAAAGAAAAGTTGTATTCAAGGAAGCTGTAAATCATGAGTAACTTTGCACGCTTAACTTTAATAGCATGGTTTGGTCAGGGCAATCAATTTCAGGGTTTATTTTCTGAGTTAAATTCTATTCTCACCGTTTTGGGTTGGTTTTTGTTTTTTTTTTTTTCTTTCCAGGCAGTTAGAGAGAAACTTTCAAATTTTGAGTTAACATTTTCATTAAATCCCATTACTACTCCTCAAGGGATATTCATTTTCATAATTTCATATGGATATTCTTATAATCTATTTTTTCATTTTTTGCCAATAATATTGCTAGGGACAAAGATGTGTAATGTTTTTAATCTTCCTCGTGAAACACTATTTATAGTGTCTTACAGAAATTGTTTATAGATAATGGTCATCACACTTTTTGAGCCTAAAATGTTTAGGTGCTAGGAAACCTTGTATTTTTCAGAGGAATGCCAGATTTCCATTGGCAGTAATACAGAAAACAGCTGCAGAGATGGTCATTAGGGCAATGAGAGAATGATTCATAGCCTAAAAATGTGTGTGTTCTTAGGGGTCAGATTTTAATGAATATTTTACCCACAATAACTGCCTATTTTGTTATAATAAATATATATATATTAAACTTTCTTTAACTAAACTCTGTAACTATGGGAATTATTTTCTTTACATAGTTGCGCACACGTATAAATATATATATATAAAATATATATTTTTCTTTTACCACCTACTCCTAGCTTTTTGTTTTAAATAAAAATACAAATTAGAATTTACCTTCCTTAATCACAAGAAATCAAATGGGCTATGGTGGCTGGGCATAAAGTCCAGGGTATATTAGTTACAGGAAAAAATACATGCAAGTTCTCCTCTTTTCTACAGACTTTCAGGTGTTTGTCTCTTACACCCCCACCCCCCCCTTGTAATATGCATGTCTTAACCAAAGGGAAAATTCAGAGTCAAGAATACGTTTTATTTTACTGTACGTGTTCATCTTGGTTTGCATAGGCACAAGATCTTCCGTTTGAAATGCACAAACTTCAGTACCGAATGTTATAAATACATTGTACCAAAACGTGGAACTACCTTCAGCAATGAAAATTTCTAATTCCCATATTATTTGGTACCTGCCATTGCTTGTTTGAAACTTGACTGTTTACAAGAGGGATGTACTTACGGCAGTCACGGGGCAGTCACACAACCAAATCAGCTTTGGTTTGTAAAGAATTATCAACACTATCCATTCCATTTGTTAGAAAGAGGAGAACAGCTAATAAACTTTATTGTACAATATATTTGTCAAGTGTGTTTTTAATCAAAAGAAATATAGGTGTTGTGGCATTTTAAAGTAATAGACTCAGACTGTAAATGAAAATAATGTGTTAGAGGGACATTGGTGACCAGATGGGTGCTATTGAAGTTATATTACACTAAAAGCAGCTTTAAACTCAGGACATAAATATTGCTGGTGCTATGTGGAATACTTATAGGACTTACAGTAAGTGTAAGTAGCTGGTGTATTGCCCAAAATAATTTTTCTTTTTAGATTTGGCAGTAGATGTGCTGTCTTTCTGAGACTCCTGTCTATGTAAGTGCAAGGTGTACAAGATTGATGCAACTTTTGATAAATAATGTCTGAATTTTTAAAGGAGCTGAAAGTGTGCTATTGTCTGTCTCTTTGAGAGTGACTGATTATATGAGGTGTACAGTGAGACATCTTAAAACAGACCAACAAAAAAAAATAGAAGGATCTAAATCTCAGCTATCAAATATGTAAACCATAATAACATCTGAGATCTCTATATTGTATACACTTTTTTTTCAAGACCTCTTTTTTTTAACCTATCAGAAAGAGTCCTGTTCAGCTGAGTAAATATGTGAGGAATTACTCTTTCATATATTGGAGTGTCTGAATAACTTTCATAGAACTTTTCTCCCAGGTATTTGTCATGTACTAGCCAGGTGTCACCAAATATTACACTCAGACTGAAGTCGGAAAACTTACCTTGCACAGCTGTTATGCTTGAGTGAAAACAAGTCTTGAATCAAGAAAACCCAAAGAACTCTGGGGTGTCTTTGCATTTTTGGTTTTATTTGTTTCAGATGTTGCCCTTGAGTCCTGGCAGAAAAGTTGATCCTGACAGCCCTAAAGCTCCTAACTGACTTGTTTTATCTTGTAATTTTTAGGATCTTGCATTAATTAGTGTTTCTCTGGATCTCATTTTTCCAGTATTGGGTGCTGATATGTCTTTGTTTCTTGGGAACGCTTTGCTTTCTGTAGTTTAAAGATATATTTTACAATATGTGTACTTTTCTTAAGGCTTCCAATTTAACAGCTAGATTAATTAGGAAGTCTAAATGGTGTCATACAGATGCATTACCACCCTACTTTTGCTGGCCCAGTGATGGCACTATGGGTTTTCTTCCCTGCCTGCTAACCCAACTATTTGTAACTGCTATACAGAAGCATGCTTGATGAAGTATATGCTTCTCCCTATTACTAAGTTATATTAATAATTTCCTTTGTGAGGATTTTTGCTAAATTGTGCTGAAAATTAGGTTAGGAAATTTAATAACTCCTTAAAGCATAGATATTCATAGAGTTGTGAATAAAATAGGAAAAGAGCTAAATTATCATGAACTGTGCTTGTGTGATGGTTTAGAGGGGGTTGCATTCAGCGTAGGCCTCCTGTAGAAAAAGGCTCTCTTCTACCTTCTGAAGATCAGAAGAACTACAGGAGAGGCCTGGTACCAAATTAATTTCTTATTAATCTTGCCCTTGCAGGCTTAAGCAACGGGTGCTAAGACTGTGCATCAGTCTTCTCATCTGTGTGTGTGTGTGTGTGTAAGCCTTGCTGCAGGCATCAGAGGGCTTGAGAGGTTAATCCAGCCATTGGGAAAGGCACAGGAGGGATCCCAATAATGGATCTTCACAGAAATTTGAAGGACTCCAGTATGCCAGGTCATTCTTTAGCACTTTAGACAACAAAGGAACGACTAATTCCAGATGGTCTAGGCAGCCAAGAAGTTTGGCAATAAAGTTTTGTTTAAGAAGGTCTAGAGGGGTCATAATCTATTTTTTTTAAGTTCTAAACTTGAAAAAGCAATTAATTGACTTCAACTCAGTTGTCTTACAGGTGCTGGTAGTGTTAAAGCTAGCAGCCTGGCCAAATTGCAGTCAAGCAGCTAAGTAACTACCTCCTGAAAGCAACCGTGAAACATTACTGACCGTATAGACTGTCTGAAGGACGCGTACGTAGGGTTGTGTTGTTCCTGCACACTCTCAGTAGAAGGTGGTAAAGGTGTGCATGGGGCTTCATGGCAGTACACAGCAGTTCTTTTTGTGGTGGCTGGGTGCTGAGCTGAGAAATGGCAGTCAGCAGAGCAAAGCAAAGCAGCACTAAATGGCTTTTATCTAAACAAAGCGTTGCCAGCGGCTACAGTTCATTGACTAATGAGAAATGAAGAAAAGGGCAGCGTAAGTGAGTGTTGCTCTGTGAAAGCTACTCTTAAAGTCACCATAACTTTTAACAGAACTATTGTCAGCAGAGGTTTTACTCTTTTGGGGAGAGAGGAGACTTTCTGACCTTCTCTAAAGACTTAAAAAAATCGAGCTACTTCAGCTGTTTCATAGCACTTGCTATTAAATTTCAGGAGATGAGCACTTTGCATGCACTGTACCACCTGTAGAGTGTCCAGGCTTCACTGTTTTAAAGGCCTGGGTTTCTTGTTATGGCTTTATGGAATTCATGACAATGCTGAGAATATGGCAAAAAAAGTGACGGTCAGCTGTGTCAGATAAAGTGCTTTGCTTGAATCGACTTTTGCTTCCTGAGCCCCAACACATAGGGAATACATAGAATTTAAAATACTTAAAATGAGGATTTCTTTACACAGCCCCTCCTCACCCGTCAGTCAGTGTGTAGGTGCTTATCGAAGTCTATAGGTGGTGCTAAAGCAGTAACAAACTCACTGGTGCCTCAGGTATTTTGCAATGTCCTAGTCTGACTTTTTTTGCAAGTTGTAGAGGCGGTGTGAAGAGAGGGAGGGATTTTTCACTATAGTCATGATGAGGTGACGTGTGCCGAGGTAAGCAAGATAAATGGTTGAACAAAGTGCACCTGCAAGTGGATGTTGCTGATTCTCACCAGAGAGCAGGCTGGGGAGAGCACCCTTGCAGAAGCCTTGATCTCTGGGAGTTCTGAAAGCTGGAAAAAACACAAATCCTGAGATTTTCACCATGAAGAGCTCCAGAAATGTCTTCTATATTCTCTTCTTTCATACTGGTAAGTGTCCTTCAGAACCTTTTGCTGTGCCCTGGTGTCTTTGGGGTTGACTTCTATGTGATGTGAGAGAGCAGGGGGAAACTACCACTATTTCAGAACCAGTCTCATGTGGCCAGAAAAAGAAATAAAAAGAAAGGATAGAAAAAATAGAAAAGGAGTAGAAAAAGCTGGTCTGAACACCACGTATGTGTCTTGACTCATTGGTGTCAAATGTGTTTCCCAGCAATGAATATGTTTCAGTGGTGTCTGTTTCTCACAAGTGTGAAAAAGTGTTCTATGACACTTATTTTGTAAAAATAAAAATAATCGCCTTACTCCACTTGTCACGCTCTGTGTGAAATGTTGGCTTTCTCCTGTCACTCCCAAATTCTAATGGCAGAAGCTTTTAATTTCACCAGAGGTGCGGATGCTGTTTCTGAAACACTCTGCAGTTCTTCAAAAAGAAATTATTCTAGCTTATTCTCTTTTAAAAATTTTTTTTTACATTGTTGCTGTTGAAAGTCTTTGATAGTGTATTAGTATCTGTATTAGCCATTTGATGTTACAGGGTGTAGTGCTGTTTCTTTCAGCAAAGGAGTTAATTGGATGTTTGCTAGTGATAAAGTTATATGTGTATTTAGGAACCTGAGCGTATTTCAAATGGAAATTGCCAGCTCCTGCCAGTTCATGCTTTATGTATATCTACAGAGGTACAGAAGGGCCAAAATTGTGCAGAAACTTGGGTTCAGAGACTGACCTGCTGTTTTAAGGTGTTCTTGGTGGACAGTCAGAAGAGACGCTAACGACAGACTTTGTCTGTGCCTAAACCCACTTCAGATGGGATAACTTGGAAGGAATGAAAAGGGAAGTTGCTCAGGACCTGGCTTTCCTGTAACAGCAAAGTTCAGCAGTTTGGAAAGGGACAAATTAATGACCTCTTTTAGATGAGTGAGGAAAAAAGCAACAGATTCATGCTGTTTCACTATTTTGGCCAAAATACAGAGCTAAATTACTTTTGTTTCATGTGTATATGGCTAATGATTCTGTCCTACAATTCATGCATTTTCCTGTGTGTTTCTGTCTAAAACCAGACTGCTGAGGCTGAAGAATGGCACTTAGCTATATGTACTGAGATGCTGAGAACCCGACTTAATTTCCATTTGCTTATGTTTAGGAAAAGAAAAATGCGAACCCCTTTATCAATGAAAACTGAGGTTCTTCCTCCTGCACCAAGCCATTAATGTTGAAAATTTCACCCAGGCAGATGAGGTAGATGTTAAGCTTCTGTGAGGTGCCTTTTTACCATGACCACCTTGTACCTTTTTTCTAATGATCTTGGTTTTCAGAATTCCTGCAACTCAGAGGTCAGCAGTTGTTTATCCGTCTAATAGCACATGCTGCCATCAAAACTTCCTGTAAGCTTTCCAAGTCTGACTTCATGTTTGTTGACAGCAGTAGAGTTGGCTCTTGAGTTGCAGTGGAACAGCACCCAAACCCTCTGTTTCAGTATCGAGTGAAAAACATGCTTTATGGCATCCATTATTTTGTTTGGTCTGCAGCCACAAAGTCAGAAAACATGCATGGCTACTGCTGAGCACCAGTGGAGTAATTTTAACTTTCAGAGTTAGATGTGTTGTCTCAGCTGCATGACAGTGGTGGGGAAGAAGGGGGCCAGTTAGAGTTTTTAGAAAACCACATGACAAATAACTTAGAGCAGCTTTCAACTTAAAAATTAGAATTGTAGAAAAGCAATGGATTGTGGCGCCCCCTGCTTACAAAAATGATCTCTGCTTGTTTATCAGCATAAGCCATACTTGCATATGCATTTTATGTACAGCTGCACCATTTGCGCATGATTACATATTCTTGCAAAAGCAACAAAGTGTTTGTAGCTTTGGTGCTCAGTAGGGTAGCATTTGGGCCTGCTGAAAGACACCTTTCTTCACTGATTAATGGAATCTCCACTGCTAACCCTGAGTCTTTTCATTCATGGAACTGCCTTCCCCTTCTGTGACTGTGGAAACAGCCTCTGATGTAAGAGTGTTTTGAAGGGACAAGTTTACTTTTTTAGTTTTCATAATAAGCCTAGTGGGAAGGCTCTTGAGCACCTAAGATCAACTTTTTTTAATCCAGACCAAAAAGGACTGTGGCAGGACTTCAGGTACTAACTAGCAATGCTTGAGACAGTGTTGTCTTTGGTCAGTCTCTTTGGGTTTGTAGCATATCATTTTAAATAGTAATTTTAAACACTTTTGGCTTGAGAAAGATGACGTATTCTGTAAGGTTTTAAGAATAGTCTGGATGCCTTGCCCTGTTCTGTGGTCATTTATGTCAGAAACGATGCCATTGGATATCCTGTTTCCAGTCCAAAAAACTTCAGTATTCGTGATAATCTGAATGAAGGTGGAACCATTTCTAAAGACTCACTGTTGAAAGAGCCCTGATTTTTTTTCTGTTTGGGAGGAGGAGCAGCATAAAAGGTTGGCTCTTTGAGAACCTTTAAATGGTAAGCTCTGTTACAAAGGCACAGATATGTTTTATATTTTCTCTTGGTATTGTGTTTGCAGCTCTCAGCCTGGAACGTATCCGGTGGTGCACTGTCTCTGAGCAAGAATTTGCCAAGTGTAATGACATGAGTAAGGCCTTTGGTAGGGCCGGCATCCTTCCCCCTCTGGAATGTACGGAGGGGGCATCAGCTGCTAACTGTACGCAGATGATCAAGGTGAGTTGTGAGTGACAGCAGTGTCATCGATTTAATTTATCCATGTGCCTAATAATAATCCAGCGGCAATGTACACAGCTCTGTGGTGAGTGTTAGATGATCCAGGCAGATGACTGAATGCTTCTTGGCATTCATGTCTCTGAAAGATCAATGCATATATTTTTTTAGAGTCATAAAGGTATACATATGAACCTGAATGTCAGAATGTCCCCGTGTCATTTATTTGGCTAGTCATGTGTGACCAGTCACTAGGAACACAGCGAAGGTCTTGAATATTTCCTTCCAAAAGCTAATCTTTGATTTGGGAATTGTTAGATTTATTTAGCAGATATTTAAGAAAGGATGGAGCTATAAGGTGCTCAGCTGTGCTGCTGAGCATGTAAGTAGATTGTATTTTGATAAACTCTGGATCAAACTCCCATTTCAGGGTCCCATCATGGAAACTGCTGTGTATACAGATGAGATGAGTGTAAAGCCAATCTTGCTGTGAGCCACATCTCCCAGTATACAGCCAGATCTCCCAGTACACAGCAGCAAGTAGGCTGAGCAGCTGCCCAGAGCATGCTCAGTTTCCAAAAGGAGCTTTGGGGGACGTTTCAAAAGACTGTAAACATGTGACTTTTCAAAATGATGTATGGAAAATAATTCCCTCCTTAGGAGGGAGTGGGGGGCAACAAGTGGATATTGAAGGAAATGTGGAGGTTTTCAATGACCATATGTATTCTGTGTAGGCATGCCCGGAAAATCAAAGTTTGGGGAGGAGGTGCAGCCTGTCAAGGAGAAGAGGTTCAGAGCCAGGAAATAAGGCCTGGCAGAGTAGTTTGAAGGGAGATGAGTCAGGTGGTTGTATGGCCAGAAAAAAGGAGGAAATTTTAGAAATCGGTATCTTGTAAGTAAAGCAGAAGAGTTGTCTGACTGCTAAAACTACCACATTGCTTCTTGATGAATACTGTTCTTGAGCGAGGGAATCAAGAATGTTAAGAGTGGATATTGATACATATGTGGATCTTACTTTGGGATTAGATAGGGAATAGTTTCTAATATCAGATCTTCCTGAAGCTGCTAGGTTCATTGCTGCATTCCATAGAGGGGTCGGTTAGACTCTACAAAGGGCTGATGAGTGTCTGTTTCTGAAATACAGTGCACAGAGAATTGCATTTTTAAGCCATTGCAAACAGTAGGCTCCTGTCTGAAGCCTTGGATTCCAATAAAACTTGATTAGCTGAACTCAGAAACCTGCAGGCCGATAGCATGAATAAGTAGCATTCTGATAAAACGACTCTTCACTTTAAGGCTTTGGATGAGGCTTGGTCCTTGAGACCTCTTTTTTTCTTGTGCTAATAATCTACTAAATGTTCAGGCCAGCCAACTCTGTGTGGAACCCCTGAGTACACATCCACACTGAACTCTGCTCTCTGAGGCCAAAAAGGGAGCGGGACACAGTGGCTGAAGAGGCAGAGATACGCAGTTTTATAACACTACATAACTTGGACTTAGTCCTGTGAATGTGTTAGCACACGGATAAAGTAAAAAACCTTTTTCTTTGAAGGTGTTTAAAAATTGAGAAATGACTAAATATTAAACTAGGGGACCTGACAATATTTAATGTGACCAGAGCTGCTATTCTTCTTTAAACACTTCTGTAGGTAATTCTCAAAGGTTGTGACACACAGGAATGAAGTCCCTCTGAAAATAATTAACCAGGGTATTACCATCATACATATACTTACCAAAAACTCATATGTGGAATAATCCTGTGCTTTTGCTAAATGTATTGGCAAATGCTTGCTACAAAAAAAAAAAAATTAAAATGCCCACACTGTTGCTGATATGCCACCTCAGCAGTGATTGTATGTGTTTAAAGGAAAGGTCTGTAGCCTGTGAACTACTTCACATCACATACAACAATAGGCATTTTTTCTGTCTTGTTCTGTTAATTTATACACAAGCTATTGCTAGGAGGCTCTTCTCCTAAACAGAGCTCAAAGGCTCAGCTTTCCCCTCAGTAAAGTGATGGAAATATGTCCACATAATTCAGTCCTTGTCTTCTGTGGCTAGTCCTTCCCATTTTATCTGCTCTGTTTACTGTCCACCACCAATTCTAGAGGCTCATTATCCCTGAGGGTAAGGTCCTTGTAACTCCCACCCCCTCTCCTTCCTCTCAGTGTCAGGTGTCCCTTCTAAACAACAGGCTGTATTTGATTCCTCAGCTGTTGTCCTGTGCTTTGGCTCTTGCCAGTGGAATATCAGATCTGGTTATTCCAGAAAGATTTTTTAAGATCCAAGTATCTCCCAACCCCAACTCCTCTCCATGTTCCCTTGGAGCTTTGTTCAGCTCTCATTCATGAGAAGGAACTCTCAGGACATCTGTTGTTTCAGTTAATTAATACCTTTTTTTCCTCCCTTGAGCCAAATAAATAAAATATTTAAAATTACTTGGCAACTTCAAGTCTGATTTAGGTGTCAACATTGTATTACCTATGCTCTCACATGATCCCTTAAATATTTTTCAAGTTTTTTATGTGGCTCAGCCTGTGGGAAATTGCTGTGCTACATTAGGCAGCATAGTCCTAGCTCTAGCCTAACCAGTGCTCAGCAAACTGCCAAGGGATGGAGAAACTAAATTACCCCCTCCAGTGCTGAATGGGAGGTTAAGCAAATTGATAAGAAACCCGGAATCGGCTTAGAAATTCAAAATGTCAAGCTGCTAATTATTTTCTCAGCAGTATCTTGTCTCTTTGCAAGATGCCCTCTCCTGGCTTCCAGTATGTCCAGTACACAGAGCCAGGTTCAGCTGATCAGAGGTGCGTGTAGCAGTGCTCTAGTCCTGGCAGCTGTGGGAAGTCCTATCCTGTGCTATCCAGAGCAATCCTACATCTGTAGCAGGATTCCAGCCACACTTGACTGTAAAGTCAGCTGAAAAGATACGCTGTTCTTCAACACCTTCCCAGCCATGGATGCCCCAGATTTGCATTCCCCACTTTGGACAGTCTTTTTAGATGCTTTCCCAGAAATGCACTGCCATCTGCTTCCCCTCTCCCAGAATGTGTGGCTGTTTGCTGAGGTACAAGCCAGCATGCTTTAAGGTTGCTTTTGAGTACACTTTGCCATTCAGATTTTACGGCCTCAGAAGTCATTACTTCAAACTCTATGTGTATGACCTCAAAAATATATTTACTTTATTTAAATCTTCAAGCTTTTATGAAGCACTAGCTAAAAAGATGAATGAAAGTCCAAATTGAATGGCCTTAAGGTTTGTCACAGGGCTGCAGGATTCATTTCTAAGATTCTTTTGGACTATAAAGACTGGTCAGACCGTCATGATCCAGGGCTGGTTTCTGCATTATTTCTGAATGAAAGTGGTTTTGAAGTTCTAAAATCCCTCTTGGCAATTGTTCTTAAGAAATTTGAGCACCTTTAAAAGAACTTTTTGGCAAAAAGAAAACTCACAAATGCAGATTAAAGGGCCTCTTCTCCTAAATCCATGGATACTCTGCCTCTGGCTGTTGAGAAGTACTGATACTTAAGCTTCAACATGTCTTCTGCCCTTGTGTCTGCACAGGATAATTTGGCAGATGCAGTGACACTGGATGGCCATTCGATTTACCAGGCTGGAAAAGAGCATGGTCTGAAACCTGTGGTTGGGGAAGTATATGATCAAGGTAAATAATTTTAGATTACTTAATATAAACTTTTTCTTACACGTTTTTACTGTTTCCATTTTATTTTGGGGTCCTCCTCTTAAAGATTCTAAACAGTAGGTCATGGTCAGGTTCCCTCTTGGACATTCTTGCTTGTAGCAGTATGTGTGGGGGAAAGAGTCTGTCCTGAAAGTTGGGTCAAAATAGCCACTTCTGTAATGGGTATGTTGGATTGCTTTTTGTTTTGCTCCCCCCCCTCCCCC